CTAAGATTAGGCAAGGCCAGACATGCCTTGTTTATCGGAGTCTAACAGAAACCAACCGAAATTCCTGACCATAAAAGGGCATCCAGAGGTCTGTAAAAGGAAAAATTGAGACATTCCAGGTGCTGACCATGACTATAAGTAATGAACAACCCCCCCCACCCCCGTACAAGGAATTCAGTTATCCAATCAATTCAAAGGTCGCCCAGTTTGTGCAGGCTTTTTCAAGAGTACCCAATAAAAACCCCTGCTCATTGTTGGTCGGGGCCGGACTCCATTCTTTGGCTCCTGGAGTCTGTGCCTGACTGGTCATTCAAGAAGTGGAATGCTTTTCAATAAAATTTTAAAAATTTCAAATTTTACTGGGTGATCTCCAATCATTCCTGAACCTCGGACCCAACATATGGAACCCTGTTCAATAGCTTTGAGGAAGGAAATCCATTCCTGGTACTGGGGGTTTATTTTGTTAGCTTATGGTATCTAGTAAGGGCAATATTCCCCTATTATAAGGTAACTCCTCTTAATTTCTTTTTACAGAGCTTGTACAGTGGTGGGTTTCCAGATGGATGTTTCTAAAGGCCTTTAGTGTTGGTTAACCTTCTCAATACTTTTTATTACTTTTAATTTGAGACAAGGTCTTGCTGTTATCCAGGCTAGTCTTGAACTCACTCTGTAATCTAGACAGGCTTTGAACTTGGTTTCCTTCTGCCTTACCCTCCCAAACAGTTGGGATTACAGGCATTCAGGAAACATTATTTTTTTAAAAAGCAATACTTAAAGGATAAGCCACTACTTGTATCGTGTTAGTTTGTATCTGTGAACGCCAGGCTCTTTTTGCTCAGAGATGCTGTTGCACACGCTGCACATGTCACTGGTTCTTAAGACAGTCCTTAGCACATGCTGTTCCAGAGATGGCCAGGAACAGGATGAGCAGCATGGAAAGTGTGCTCTCTGACTGCTTGAGACCAATCAACATGGCTCAGCTTTAGAGACACTTTCTAGGCCTACAAATGTTTAGATGTACAAACTGTAAAAGCCTGAGTTCTGAAAGTTAAGGCAATTACATTTGTATCTTGCACCAAAAACAATTTTAAAGTGTTCACATCAGTTTTACTAAACAACTGGCATAGCTGAAGTTGTACAGCGGAGTGAAGTGCTCACGCCAAGTCTGGTAACAACTTCTATATATTTATTACAGCATTATGACAAAAAGCCTTTGGCTTCTGCTATTTATGTACGCACTTTCGCCTTCGTGCAAATAAACTGCAGTATAAATGGTAAGATCTTGGGGTTTTGAGGCACCTACACACTTCAACATATTCTCAAGCCTATGTGAATTCCCATAAGCAATATCTAGATATGTGTCTTAAAAAATTATTTCTAGTACCCATCCTCTCTCCCTTCCTGCTTTGTGAAAGAAGCAGGGTCTGAAATCGAGTGCACTGTGAAAATGCGGTTTTCTTCAGACACAGGCACAGACACACACACACACACACACGCACACACACACACACACACAGGTTGTATGAAAAACGTTTCATGAAAACAATATTTTAACTCTTCTGAATAACCCCAAGAATGAATTACCGACGAATGTCTTTATCCTGCAGCTGCTGGTCATATATAACCAATAGGTTTCTATAGAGCCAACAATGAAAACAAAGCAAGAAGGAAGCAGGGAGGGGAGGGGAGAAAAGAGGGAAGGGAAAGTAACTCCAGTCAGAGATCTTGAATGGTGATGTAAAAAGACAGTATTTATAAAAGGCTGTTGGAACTTGCCCACATAACTAAATATCTCTTAAAATCACTTAGCTATGACTTCACAGGAACCTAAGGTTTGGTCATTACTCAAGAAAGTTATCTGAGACCCAACTTTTCACAGCAGCAAAGAAAACCTTTGAATATGGAGCCTTGCATTCCAGCTTTCCGGAATAATCAGCCATGGCTATTGTGTTTTTAATTAAGCAATCAGCTTTAAAAATTTGCTTTTACAGCACACAGAGGCTAATATAACTGCAACTCTTTACATAAGCAACTGAGGTTTTCGAAGGTGCTGCTTTGGTTTCAATCTTTTGGAAAAGAGAGGACCAGGACCTACCAGGCTCCAGTGTTATGGTGGGACCTTTTGCTCCATCCACTAAAGACTTCCTTGTCCATCAGGCCCACAACAGGGCAAGGGCAGCAGCTCTTTCCTGCCAGTTTATTTAGCAGCATAGCAACACCAGGGTTTCAAGAGTAATATCACCAGCATCGCTGTGAATTGTGACTGTGAGATTACACCAAATTGGTGTTTGGCTTCCTTCCAAGTTTTGTATCTATCCCATATTCAGGATAAGAAATCATATACAGAGAAGGCAGGATCCAAAGGACAGGAAGTCATGTTTCAACAGCACACACCACTTACCCTCAGAGCTGCTCTTTCACATTCAAATGATGTTAAGCATACTGATGAGGTCTAAACATACATTGTTGAAACAAACTGCACAGTGAAAACTAAGACTGTAATTTCTTTTCACAAAAGTCTGTGATTGTATACAGAAAATGATACATATAGCCATACCTAGATATTTTAAAATTCTGATTCCAGGATTTATATATACATGTTTAAGTATGATATTTTCATTCGATTTTGAGAATTTCTTACAATTTATTTTGATCATATTCATCTACCTAACTTCTCCCAGATCCACGGCCCCCCACTTCCCCACTCAACTCTGTGTCCTCATTTTCTCTTCATTTTTAAAAATAACCCACAGAGTGCACTTTGTGCTGCCCATATGTTCAGGACTGTGGGACCTTCCACTGGGGTGTGGTCCACCTACCAGGGGCCACACCTGTAAAGGAAATTGACTCTCCTTCCCAAACAAGCCATCAGCTATCAATAGCTCCTCAGGGATGAGGGCCCATGAGCCCCTCTTCCCTCCATGCTGGAATGCTGAGTGGCTTGATCTCAAGCAGGCAACCACAGCGCTGTGAGTCCATGGGTGCAGCTGGCTCGTCATGTCCAGAAGACACTGCTTCATTCCAATCCTCCCTGACCTCTATTTCTTTAAAAGGTATCTTGGGTGATTTTGCAATGTAGTATTTTTTTCTTCTTCCTTGGTTATTATTATATACACATAATTTAAATATATAATGCACTGAGTCCATTTAGTGGTTCTCCTGTGTGTCTGTTTAGGGCTGGCCACTTGGGAGTCAGATAACTGCTGAAGGAACTTGTTTCTGGAGAAAACTGATTTTCCTTTCCTCAACATCCCTTGGTAGCCTATAGCTCTTCATCTTGAGGTGGGATCCCTTGAAATTTCCCTCACTCACTTTGGCATGTCAACTAGTGTTGTCATTATGCTGACCTTGTTAGACTACCATACTGTGGAGATTTCATGGCTGTACCTTCCCTATGAAGTCTAAAATGCTTTAAGTAGCAGCAGGTGTCTTGTCCCTCCAGCTCTTATATTCTTTCCGCCCCTTCTTCTTCATGTTCCCTGAGGCCAAGTGCAGAGGTTACATTGTAGAAGTGTCACTTAGGGCTGGGCACCTCACAGACACTTACTTTATGCAGCAGTTGTGGGAACTTTTTAATAAGTTCCATCTGTTGCATAAAGAAGTTCTTTGCTGAGTGGTGTCTGAAAGGCTCAGTATTAGAACACAGTAAGAAATTATGTTGGTCTAGGGAAATGCCAGAAGTAGGTTTTTCTCTAGGGTCTGTCACCTCTTCAGTCTTGTACTTGGCTGTTGACAGTATCACACATGAGTTCCCTCCCACTAAGCCAGCCTTAAGTCCAGTTAGACAGCTGTTGATTACCCACAAGATAAAAGTGCCACTACTGCATCAATAGAGGTTCTAAATGTCTATATTGAATCTTTGTAAGTCTGAAGCTGGGTACCAATGTGATTCTAAAATAAGATTCCCAAGTCTTTAGATAACCTTCCTCCTTATCACCACCAAACAACTTTCTTTTAATTACACTTCCTCTTTTAAATAGGTTCTAATCAGACAGGTTCATGATCTGGGCTTCATTTTACTTTTCTTGTTTTTGGCTTTCTCTAAGTTATTTTGACATTATTATTAAATTGCATGTTGCTTTCAAATATTTTGCTGAAACAAAAAAAATCTAAAGGCAGTGATTATGTATGCTCCAGCTTCAATTCCTTCAGCACCAGTGATGATTTAAATCAACCACTGCCAGATTTGTCTTTTTAATTCTAGATTTCTAACTACGTGGGATGACTGAAGATAATTCAAAAGTGTGTCATGATCACTGCCAAGTTTCTGGAAACCACCTTTAGCCAACCAAAATGCCAAGGCTCCAAGGACAGCATTACACCTACACTTACCTACTCCTGAAGTTAGGGTCATGTTCATCACGGCTGACGGGGATCTGCCACTCAACTGCTCTCCACTCTGTCAGTCATATGAAGACAGAAAACAACTCTGTTTCTGATTTTAGTTGTGTATGATTACTTATGCTAATTCTAAAGATAAACAGTAAAACTCAGGAGGAGTCACATAATGAACAATTAAATGTTACAGGTATTTTTGTGTAGACCATATGAAGATACTCCGTACCATGAAGATCTGTTTCTGAATGATGAGTGGCAATTATGTGTTCTGAGAATTGTCTAATACGAGCACTATTTTTTTAGAAACTTTAGTTCTCAAACATCCCTTTATTTTGAGATTATTTGTTAAATAAAGCTATTAAATAAGATAAACTCCTGGTCTGTTTATTGAATATCTTGTCATGTTTGAGACTTTGAAAATACAAGGTCTCTCTGTCTGAGTTAGTAATAACCACCTGCAATAACCAGTGTTTGCAAGTGAGCACCCTCCCCTTCAGGCACCCAGGCACAGACACACAGACAGACAGACAGACAGACAGACAGACAGACACACACACACACACACACACACACACACACACGCACGAGAATAACAATAAATGGAAAGGCCTAACATGGAAATATGTTAATAAGTTTCATAAAAGAAAGTTGAGAGCCACGACTCGTTTCTTGGTTTTTATCAGTCAGAACACAAATAGAATCTACAGTTACAGTTTTATATTTCTATCACTTTTTGGTAACATTTCTCTTTGTGCAAATTTATCTATAAATTCCAAAGATAGGCTAATAAAGACTGTGAGATCAATGGGTTACTTTTACTTATTTCTGTTAAGCTGATGAGGTGAGAAAAATCTGGGATTTATATTAGTCGCCCTTCTGCAGGGTGCTTTTCTGAGCAGCTACCATTAGCTGTCAGCCACACCGTGGATATTGTCCATGTGCACTTTGAGGTAGTCGTTCCTTGTAAACTTCTTATGGCAAAAGTGGCATTCTGCCATGGGACGATTGGGATTGTGCGTCATCTTGTGTCGGATCAGCATTTTCTTCAGGCTAAAAGCCAAGTCACAAACCTAGAAAAGAACCAAACAGGCCAACCGTATTTTTGCTGAGCAAACTGATGGTATGCCAATTTGTCACATTATATAATATACATTATGAAAATTCCCGCTATCAAGTGTGTGCTGGTGGGCTCTCAGAATAAATGAAATTTAACATACAGACTAATAGACAAAGAAGTTATAACAGTTCTCAAGTGTTATTTGCATTTAATTGTATCATTTGCACTATCCTCAAGCACTCACTCTTCTCCCCATCTCTGGACTTAAACCACTCCAGAAAAATAGCTCCCTAGAAACATACCTTCCTTATCATAACAGCATATATTTATAATTCATAACAACTTCTTAAGTGACATGATTTGCAGCTGCTCCACAGGGCATAAATAACACAAGACTTTTTTCTTTTACAGTTACCCTTTTAATTTAGTCCCACTTATGGTGTGACTGGCTAACAATGATTTAAATATCATCATATTTATTGCTCAATATTTCATTTCCTTCTTCCCTGTTGTATACATTTTGTTTAAGTACTATAAGCAGTTTACACCACATAAGTACTGCTACATTGTCACCTGGCCCAGCATCCCCATTAGAAAGCATGGAAATGAAAAATAGCATAATAACAATATCCAAGTAAGTCATAATAATTTAAGTCACAAATGGGAAGTCAGAATGAAATTCAGTTTGATGTTACAAAATCTCCACATATATATTCTTCAAAAGCATAAATGTTTGAAAATAATGTCTACTTAAATCATATGGAAACACCATGCAAAGTGTAATGAAAATGAAAAAGGAAACATTCTAAAGAAAGCTGGAATGAGGCAAAGTTGGTGAAAATACGAAAGAAAATTAAAAATGTGTACTTTCTTTTTATGGAAAAAGAAGGGTTTCCTCTCACTGCAACAAAAACCAGAAAGGTGTAAGCCTCGAGGCTTGTCAGGAGGGGAGTCATCCAATGATGTATTCTGATTTCTATGTAAGCCCAGGTTACTGAGGGAGAAGGCAAGCATGCTTGAGAGGCACCGTGCTTTCCAAAGGAGTCTGTCCTGATCAACCAATGTTAACCAAACTCTGACATCTCCCTTTATCCTTTTTCCTGTGTTTCAAATCTATTTTTTTGCACAGTACTTGTTACCCTCTGGCCCATTACAGGTGACTTACTAGTGGAACCCTGTATTTACCCACTACAACTGACCCATTTACTAGTGTCATCTGGTGGGCGGGTAGACAGGGTCTCTGTGTGCTTTATGCACTCACACTTCATAAGGGTAGGACAAGGTCTGCAGTGCAAGTATTCAATAAGTATTTGATGAAGAGCCAACAAAAAGTTTATATGCCCAAAGTATCCCTTTAAACTTCAGTACCCTGCCAAAGAAATCACAATAATGGTATGTACCTTATAGGAGTCTATGATTAAATAAAGTAATCAAAAGTTTATGCAAGCTGGTCTTACATTGCAGACATTCAATAAATATTAATGCTAAGATTTTTTTCATCTTCTCTAGTAAGAAGCATCACTGAAAAGATGAGACTAAGGAGGGAGCTAACCAGCAAAGAGGGATTTGAAAGGGGGTGTAACTATTCAAGAGTGGCGGTACTCTGGAGCAAACACATGATTTGTGCAAATATAGGATAATTTCACAGAATAAATTTGCTACATTTAATTAATAATAGATAGTGTCATTTTTCTTGTCAATAGTTCATAAACATGTTTATCATAATTAGATGCTATACCTCTAAATTTTTAAAAATTTAGTTATTTTTATGTGACGTGTACGAGTATTTTGCCTTCATGAATGTAAGTGCATCCATGTTGTGCAATGCCCACAGAGGTCAGAAAAGGGCATCAAATCCCCTCGAACTGGAGTTATGGACAGTTGTTAACCACCATATGGGTGTTGGGAATTGAACCTGAGGCCTCTGCAAGAGCAGCCTGTGTTTGTAACCACTGAGTCATCTCTCTAGCCCCATCTTAAATTTTTTTAAATATATTTTTTATTATGTGTATGAGTCTTTTGTTTGCATATATGTGAAGTGCACTGATGGCATGCAGTGCATACAGAGATGAGAAGAGGGTGTTGGATCCTCTGGAACTGGAGTTCCAGATGGTTTTATTAGCCACCATGTGGAGTGCTGGGTCCTCTGCAAGAGCAATCAGTGCTCTTAATTGCTGACCCAACTCTCCAGCCCCATAGACTCTATACCTTTTAAATAAATGAAAAGCCAAGTGGCTATAGTGAAAATGAAGAGAAAAGAAGGAAAGACACACACACACACACACTCACACACACACACACACACAAAGAATATGGGGAGGGCATGTGGCACATTCCTTTTATGACAGCACTTGGGAGGCAGAGGCATGAGGATCTCTGTGAAATCAGAGCTATAGACTTGAGACCATGACTAAAAAAAAAAAAAAAACACAGACTGAAATGAATTTTGATAATTGATGTGAATATATTTTATGTTCTTTTTTAAAAAAATCAAGTTGGTTTCATCCCAGAGATGCATGGATGCTTCAACATTTAAATCAATACATGTAACCCACCACATAAACAGACTCAAAGACAGAAACCACATGATCATCTCATTAGATGCTGAAAAGGCCTTTGGCAAAATCCAACATTCACTCATGATAATATTAATGGAGAATTCAGGAATGTAGGAGACATATCACAACATAATAAAGGGCATATGCCACAAGCCCACAGCCAGCATCATACTAAATGGAGAAAATCCCTTCCCCCAAAAGCTTAAAATCAGTAATAAGACAAAGATGTCCACTCTCTCCACTCCTGTTCAACATAGCACTTGAAGTCTTAGCTAGAGAAATAAGACAAAGGAGACAAAGGGGAAACAATGTGGAAAGGAAGATTCCAAAATATCTGTATTTGCAGATGATATGACTCTATACATAAAAGACCCCAAGACTCTACCAGAAAACTAGAGCTAATAAATAAATTCAGCAAAGTAGCAGGATATAAAATTAACATTCAAAAATAAGTAACCTTCTTATATACCAACAACAAACATAACAAGAAGGAAATCAGGGAAATGATCCCATTCACCACAGCTTCAAAAACCATAAAATATCTTGGAATAAATCTAAGCAAGGAAGTGAAGGACTTGTACAATAAAAACTTGAAGACAATGAAGAAAGAGATTGAGGAAGACACCAGCAGATGGAAAGACCTCCCATTCACATGGATCCATAGGATTAATATTGTGAAAATGGATATCCTACCAAAAGCAATCTACAAATTCAGTGCAATACCTATTAAAGTTCCAATATAGTTCCTCATAGAAATTGGAAAAATAATCTCACATTTCATATAGAAATACAAAAACCCAGGATAGCTAACCCAACCTCACTCAGCTGCAAATCCTGCAAACTACAACAACTGGCTTGGCAAGGTCAGGAGTAACCAACTACTTTCTAATTAGATTTATGGTCTTCTTCATAGAATGGAGCACACATCTGACACTGTTATGAGGCCTAGGAATCTGAGGCTAGACATGTCACAAGACATAGGTAAGAGCCGAATACTAATATTCTGCTAAATAGATACTGTATTAAACTGATTTCTAATGACTCATTGTTATACCCATAGATTACTGCATCTCTCACTCTCACCAGAGAAGCTTCCTTATGCAGGAGATAGTGATTAACACAGAAAACCACAACCAAGCAATGTGCAGAGAACAAGAGGCTGCAGTGTGCTTATCCCTGAATAGGACACCTGTATTAAACTCTTGCCTCTCAAGGCTCAGGGATCATTAGGGAAGAAGGAGCAGAAAGACCAGAGGTGGCAGATGACCACAAGGAAACAATTTTCCATGAACTCACAGCAATTGTGACACCATGAACAAGTCCCATGCAAGCTCAAATGAGACAAAATCCCAACATATATGTGGGAAAGAAGATTACAAACCCCAACTCTACTTGAGGAATTATTAGCAACCGATTGTTACTGAGTGGGATGAGTCAGTCTCTTTCAAAGATGTGACTCTTAGTAGGTTACCCACAGTGAAAGACATTTGGTGACATAAATTAGACTCTATAGGCTCTCCCCCCCCCTCTCTCTCTCTCTCTCTCTCTCTCTCTCTCTCTATATATATATATATATATATATATAATAGAGTGCATTAAATCGGGTGGGGGCAATGAGAAGGATGCTAATGGTGGGGATCAAATACCATCAAATTATATTGAATGAAAACTGCAAAAAAATTCAATTTAAAAATACCTCCAAAGACTATGGAATGATTTCAAAGAAGTTAAAGAATAGGTTTATGAAACATACTTGAGAGTGAAAGGAATACTGAATTGTTTTATACACATAACTTTAAATTGATGATTCAGATGATTCGGATTTTGCCATGTCCTATTGCTCTAAATCCAATGTCAACATAAAGAGCTGGTACTTATTTTTTTGAGGCAGGGTCTCCCCAGCTGTCCAGGAACTTGCTATGTAGACTAGTCTGGCCCCCATTTCACAGAGATGCACCTGTGTCAGCCTCCTGAGTACTGGAACTAAAGGTGTACATCACCATGCCCCCATGTGATACCATTTTTATATCTTCACTATTGAAATCAGATTCATGATAAATTACTCTCAATGGCTGCAACCCTTCCGTTCTCTAGCCAGTGCTACCTGGACACCTCGCCCCTTTCTCCATGACATCTCACCCTTCTCCAATTCTCCTTACCCTTGCAGCCACCAACTATGCTGTTCCCTCTCCTGAAATGCTCTCAGTCCATAACTGACTCCTTCTCATCTTAAGCTTAAGAGATAAATAAATACCAAGATAAATATGGGGAATTCGTTCTTAACTGTTGTTTCACAGCCTCTTGGTTTTGTACCTTCCTTTTCTAGCCTTTACCATAAATGGTTACTAAGTATTTATCACAGGTATTTGTTTAGTATTATATGCCACAGTGAGCTCTACCGTGAAGGGGAGGTGATACCTGGTTCACTCATCCATTCTGAGTCCAGCTTGGCCTT